GATTACATTCATAGTGTTTCTTGCTAGTATGTGCCTGGAGAGCACTGCTATGTATAATTTTTACTGCAATGACTCCATTCATAACGATTCTGCCTACAATGGGTTCTATTATGAATTTGGAAGACTCATGTAAAACAGTATTCCCACGTAGACTTCTTTCATAGGGTTTCTCTCGGGCATGGGTTATGGTTTTTACTGGGAACTTATATGCATAGGCTTTACCACATTGATTACATTCATAGGATTTGTCTTCAGTATGGTTATTTTATGCAATGGGAGACTTGTATGCGTAGGGCGTTACCACTATGATTATAGTCATGTTTTCTCTCCAGTGTGGGTTATTTTATGCATAAGAATTAATATATTACACACATAGGCTTTATTACTGTGATAAAATTCACAAGATTTCTCTCTACTATGGGTTCTTTTGCGAAAAAGATTGTTTCTTGTGAAAAGTCTTTCTCACACTGATTATATTCATAGGATTTCCCTCCAGTGTGGGCTACTCTATGAATTTGGAGATCAGTGTCTTTGGGAATGGCTTTCTCACGCTGATTACATTCATAGGTTTTCTCTCCAGCGTGGGTTATTTTATTCCTTAGGAGGGTACTACGATGTGTAAAGGCTTTCTCACATTGATAATATTCATAGGGGTTCTCTAAAGGGTGGGTTATTATATAACTTAAAATGATTATTATGATATGCAAAGGTTTTACCACATTATTTACATTTATACAAGTTCTCTCTGATATGAGTTCTAAAATGAATTTGGAAATGAGTGTTGTCAAACACTTTACAACGCCGATTACATTCATAGGGCATCTATGTAGTATGTGTTTGGAGAACAGTGCTATGTATAAATTGTTTAACACAGTGACTACATGAATAGGAGTTCTGCCTAGAATGGCTTCTTTAATGATTTTGGAGGACTCTGTTAAAAAAGGTTTTCCCACATAGATTTCATTCATAAGGTTTCTGTCCATTATGGGTTGTTTTATGTATTAAGAGACTAAATTATGTGCATAGGTTTACTACATTGATTAAATTCTTAGGACTTCTGTTTAGTATGTGTTCTTTTAGGAAATTGGTTGTTTGTTCTGAAAAAGGCATTCCCACATTGATTACATCCATAGTGTTTCTCTGCAGTGTGGGTTATTTTATACCTTAGAAGAAGGTATCTATGATATGCAAAGGCAAGACATTTGGGAAGATTTATGAACTTGTATCCTGTTGGAAATGTGATATACCAATAGACCAATTAACACCCTTTCTTGAGCCATTATTTTTTCCAGATTATTTGTCCCTTTTCTTCAGATGTCTCAATTGTCCAGTGGTCTCCTGATTCCTTAGATGGATATCTTTATTCTCCTGAAAAGACAAAAATAAAACCCTTCCCCAGTCCTAAATTTTTGGGGAGGTTCTCCTTTGGCAAGTTATATCTGATCAAATGAAAAACATTTGTTAATTTTATGGATTACTTTAGATTAAATGCCATATTGCTTGATGAACTATCATCTCTTTCTAATTAAGAGGTATCTTGTTCAAATCAAATTTCTATCAATTTTGATGGTATCCATAACTTTTCTTCACCTGTGGAAGCAAAAGCAAAATGTCTTCCCCAATATAACATATATCCTGATTTCCATTCGGAGGTCAAGACATTTTAAAAGTATATCGGCTGGTTTAATTCTGTAGTTTTTCTATTATCCAATGTCTCTCTGCAGCTGTTGTTCCTTTCTCATTAGCATTCAGAAAATTCAAATTTAATAAAGCATTATCTAATCTATTTTTTAGGTTCTTTATCATCTCTTTCTGTTTATTTAGCATTTCCTTTGGAGTTCAATTTTCTCTACAGTCATAATGCAAATGGTTCTTTTACAGTCCCAGTCTAATCAAAGATTAAAGCTAGCTTTGGAGTGTGGCTCTCTCCAAGCAAGCTTGTTAAAGAAAAATAAAAAACCTATCTCATGTCAGGAGAGCCACCTGATATGGAACAGAAGTAAAATAAGTTTAAGGACTACTGTATTGCCACTGGAATATCTCGAGGGACCTATCAAAAGCCCTTATGCCAAAACCGGTTTATTCGTTTCCTGCCACTGTGGATGTAATTCATTCCCAGAACAATTAAACAATCTAATGTTTATTGAAAGAAAACATTGTGTAGTGATATATTATTTATGATTTATTAAAGCTTGCCTGAGGATTCAGAAAGCAAAGACAACCACAAGCCATAGAATCTGGGCACACACCTTTAACCCTAACCCCCTAACCCTATAACCTAACCCATCTAGACCCAATACTAACCCTAGCCTTATCCCATCTAACTCTAACCTAGCCCTAATCCTAACAAACTCTAGACCTAACTTTAACTCTAGCTTTAATCATAACCCTAAACCTAAAAATAATTCTAGCGTAATTGTAATTATTACCTAAGCCTAACTGTAACCCTAACTCATCTAAACCCAATCTTACACTTAACCCTAATCCACTCTAACCAAAACCCGAAAGCCAATCTAACCCTAACCTCCTAAACACCTAACACTAACCCTGTAAGTGTAATGCCAACCCTAAATCTAACCCCCAATACTAAATTCCTAACCCTAACTCCAACCCTAAACCCCTAACCTAACCCTGAGTTACCCCCTCTTTTATTGTCCAAAGTTCTTCTATTAAATCTATTGGTAGTCTTTATTATGGATCCTTGTATGATAAAGATCTTTTTTTCTTTTCTGCTTCCAATATTCTTTCTTTGGTGGTAATTTGATTTATAGACAAAATTCTTGCTTAATTTTTATTTTTGAGACAAAAATCTCATTATATAATCAAGGTTTAATGGTAGGATAAAAAGTCAGGGGAGCGATGAGAAAATGAAGTAAGTGGGTAAGAATCAACGTAAAGCCATACAGTGATAACTAACTCCACAAAATTGCCTTCTGACCTCCACATGAGTGTTGTGACATGTATCCACCACCACCCCTGACCACATACATACACAATAATATATATTTTTAAAACAGAACAAATTAAATCTGGTTGTGAAAAGTCAAACTTAAGAGTTGTAAATTGCAAAGCAATGGAAGTTGCCTACACAATCAACAGTTATTCTATATGGAGATTTCAATTGAGAATGTTAACACTGATGAACCCCACTAACCAGATGACCTTGAGTTTGACTTTTCCCAGTTTTAAGCCTAAAACTCACAGATTTAGTAATGTTTCTTTGTCAACAGTCAAAAGGTATGTCTTAACCACTTGTAACCTGGTATATTAGGAACTGCTTGAACCCTTGCTACTTAAGAAAGTATCCTATGATCTCATTTAACAAATACAAAAAAAAGGAGGAATAGGGTGGAGGTTTACTGAACAATCCTGTTAAAAAGCCACCCAAATCATGGCTATCATTAAGACACTTGACTTACTTCATACCTAGTTGTCCTGAAATTCTTTTCTGTGGCATAGTCCAGAATCCCAGCATCACTGACAAAAATTCACTAAAAGAACTGGAGCTGAGACAGGCAGCAGTATGGAGCTCTATACCCTCTTCTACCTCCTGCTGCCACTGACGGGATAGCCTGAACCTTCCAATACCCCTGCTTCTGCATGTCTGTGTCAGCCTTGGGTAGCATTTTAAAATACTCATAGCCACTGCCTTACTGCCCTGAGAAACTATTGTACTGACTTCTACTCTCACCAGTAATGTGACAATGCCCCAACCCTTACCAACAGTAAAAATTATGATTCTCCCCAACACCTGTCATCCAGTACCAAGGATTGAGCCCACAACTTGTCATATTCTAGGCAAGTGATCTAATACTCACATACATTCTCATTCAAAGGCGAATGTGTGGCTCTCCTTTGTAATAGAGTTACCGAAAGGAGATATCAGTGAAGTTCCAAAGGCTTGAAAACAACCATAGATCAAAGATTTCAAAGTCAGCTTTTGTGAATTACTCATCCATTTCTCTCCACTTGAGGACTTTGAAAATGTCAAAGGTGCTATGTTCATAGAAGAACACTGTTGTTTTAGATCTCCTTACTATGTGCACTTTTTTTATTTTTTCCTCCTTTTAAAATTTAAATTAGAAACAAGCTTTTTCTATATGTCAATCTCAGTTCTCCCTCCCTCCCCCCTTCCCCTGTCCCTCACTAACCCCCTATCCCATCCCCTTTCTGCTCCCCAGGGAGGGTGAGGCCTTCCATGGGGGAACTCCAAAGTCTGTCACATAATTTGGGACAGGGCCCAGCCCCTGTCCCCCTCCCCCATGTTTCTAGGCTGAGAGAGTATCCCTCTATGGGGAATGGGCTCCCAAAGTCCATTTGTATACTAGGGATAAATACTGATCCATTACTGGAGGCCCCATAGATTGCCCAGGCCTCCTGATACCCACATTCAGGGGGTCTGCGTTGGTCCTATGCTGGTTTTCCAGCTATCAGTTTGGGGTTCATGAGCTCCCCCTTGTTCAGATCAGCTATTTCTGTGGGTTTCTCCAGCCTGGCCTTGACCCCTTTACTCATCACTCCTCCCTCTCTGCAACTAGAGTTCAGCTCAGTGTTAGCTGTGGGTGTCTGCTTCTGCTTCCATTAGCTACTGGGTGAAAGCTCTAGGATGGCATCAATCTCATTATCAAGGAAGGTCATTTAAGGAAGCCTCTCCACCATTGCTTAGATTGTTAGCTGGAGTCATCTTTGTAGGTCTCTGGACATTTCCTTAGTTCCAGATTTCTCTTTAAACCTATAATGGCTCCCTCTATTCAGGTATCTTTTTTCTTGCTCTCCTATATTCTTCCCCCAACTCAATTTTCCTGCTCCCTCATGCCTTACTATCTGTAGTCTTTATCACATATATGACTGTCCAATTGCATGGAAGGGATCAGAACTTCAAATGTAGAAAAATATGTTCACTATAAAGAGTAATCTTACTAGTGGTATCAATAAATATGTAACTTTTCTAAATTTATTGAAGTTTTAATAGATTTTTGAATGGGGTTCAAACACAGGCCTTTGAACATGGTAGGCACAGGCTTTATTGTGGATCATTCCCCCTAGATGGAAATATAAAATATTTTTGGTTACTTTTAAATCCCTATCAACATCATGCAGACAATCCAAATCATAAAACAGTTTGTTTAGTTGTTAATCATAAGATATATCATGTCAGTCTCCTGAATTTTAAAGTGCTTTTCAAAAATTTTATGGGTATTTTTATAATTTCTCTAGAGAGAAAAAATAGAATTTTAAAAATTAAATGGCTAGAGATATAGCTCACTTGGCAGAGTACTTGTCTAGTAATGCCTGAGGCTCAGATTTCAATCCCCTGCAATGTATAAAATGAAGATGGTTCAAATGCCTATCATCCTAACATTTTTGAGACAGAAGCAGGAAGAATAGGAGGTTCAAGTTTCTAGGACTAATGACAGTAAGGAACTATCACCTACCTACTAAACACAAAGGAAGAATGAACAGGACCTGAAGCCAAGTGAATATCTTCATGTGTATTTCCCAAGGACCTGAGGTCCCTGTACATTAAGGACTTTTATCTGCTGACTTACAGATGGCCTGTTTCACCCTGGTCCTCCACCACAGAGTTAGCTTCCTATCATACAGCAAAGACCTTCAACACACAAAATTTATGCTTGCAAGCTGGGTAAGTCCTGCCCTTAGTCTCTCCATCGATGTCCACACTGAGCATTGCAGCACTTGTAGAAGGTGGTCATTGGCTCATCTGCAGAACGGGTCTGAAGCTGCATGAAGTAGGCACGGGGATGTTCACATTTTGGACATGGTTCTGACAAAGAGAAAAACAAGTAAGTGTGGGTAAACATCTCATCTCCATGCTAATTCTGACTTCTTTGCTAATAGCAACCTCCTACCTACAGCACACCAATACTAAGGGGACCAGGGAGAACTGTGCTTTGAAAGTACTTCCCTGGTCCCACTTCCTTTCCCAAATTTTGTTGAAGATTGGCTGGAAGCATAGCATGGGAAGGGTCTACTATAGTCTGTTTTGTAAGACTATAACAAAAATACCTGCCTAGTATGCTATAATACTAGCACTTACGAAACTAAGCAAAAACTTTTTATGAGACTACAATTACCTTGTACAAACCATACAAAGACACAACTAAGAAAGAGAACTACAGACCAATCCCCCTCATGAACATTGATGCAAAAATACTAAATAAAATACTGGCAAATCAAATCTAATAACACATCAGAAAAATCATCCACCATGATCAAGTAATGCTTCAGCCCAGGGATGGTTCAACATATGAAAATCTATCAATGTAATCCACCACATAAACAAACTGAAAAAGAAAAAACCACATGATAATTTCACTAGATGCTGAAAAAGCCTTTGACAAAATCCAACACCCCTTCATGACAAAGGTCCCGGAGAGATCAGGGATAACAGGAACATAGCTAAACATAATAAAAGCAATATACAGTAAACCTACAGCCAATCAAACTAAGTGGCGAGAAACTCAATGTGATTGCTCTAAAATCAGGAACAAGATGAGACTGTCCACTCTCTCTGTATCTCTTCAATATGGTACTTGACATTCTATCTAGAGCAGTAAGACAACAAAAGGAGATCAAGGGGATACAAATTGAAAAGGAAGAAGTAAAACTTTCACTATTTGCAGATGATATGATAGTTTACATGAGTGACCCTGAATTCTACCAGGGAACTCCTAAGGCTGATAAACACCTTCAGCAAAGTGGCAGGATGCAAGGTAAACTAAAAAAAACAAAAACAAAAAAACAGAAGCCCTACTATATACAGACAATAAATGGACTGAGAAAGAAATCAGAGAAATATCACCCTTTACCAAACAAGTGAAAGACCTGTATGACAAGAACTTTGAGTCTTTAAAGAAAGAAATTAAAGAAGATAAATGGAAAGATCTCCCATGCTCTTGGATAGATAGGATCAACACAGTAAAAATGGTAATCTTGCCAAAAGCAATCTACAGATTCAATGCAATCCCCATCAAAATACCAGCACATTTCTTCACAGACCTGGAAAGCACAATACTCAACTTTATATAGAAAACAAACCAAGGATAGCCAAAACCATCTTGTACAATAAAGGAACTTCCACAGGCATTACCATCCTTGACTTCAAGCTCTATTACAGAGCTATAGTACTGAAAACAACTTGGTATTGGCATAAAAATAGACAGGTAGACCAATAGAATTAAATTGAAAACCCTGATATTAACCCATACACCTAGGAACACTTGATTTTTGAAAGAAAAAAAACTAAGGGGAAAAAAAAAAAAAAAACTGAGGCATGAGGCTTTGCTACAAGGCCAGCTTAGGCTACACAGCAAGATTCTATATCAAAATTAAACAAAAGCCTTGAAAGTGGAAAATGAGTAGAGGCTTCTGTTTTATTTTGAGATAGGAGGTGGGATGAGGAGATAGTGGGGGGAATGGGAGAATATGTAAAATAAGATTTTCAAAAAGAGAATATGTATCACATTTTTAATTATACTTATCCATATCTGACCTGGAGAATCTAAATGAAACAACAGAGCAGTATCAATACGGTGATTTTCCTTTCATTATATTTAATCCTTGAAAAAAAGATATGCTTTAAAAATTTTTAATATGGCCAGTCAGTGCACATGCCTTTAAACCTAGCACATCCCCATGGCAGGCAGACACGTGGATCTCTGAGTTCGAGGCCAGCATGGTCTACAGAGAGAGTTCCAGGACACCCAGGGCTACACAGAGAAACCCTCAAAACACAAAATCAAACAAACAAAAAAGTCTTAATGCCTTGCTTAGAGTTTAAAGAATGACTATTGTGACTATAATATATCAAATATTTCCTGTATTGGCAAACATAAGCTATTTATCATTATTTTATTATTTATATTTTCTTTAATTCCTTTATACCTATGGGGGATGGGGAGTTGGAAGACAACTTTTCATGAGTCAGCTGTCTCTTATACTATCTGGACACCAAGGATCAAACTCAGGTTAACAGGTTTGGCAACAAGTGTTTTTTTTTTTTTTTTTTTTTTTTTTTTAACCTGCTGAGCCATCTCACTGGTCCTAACAATATACAGGGTTGCATTATAACAAATATAATACATTCATTAAGTATAATAATAAGTAATAATAAACAGGGTTGAGTCATTGGCTCTGTAATGGGAAAATTCTCACCTGCAGTGGAGTCTACATTCTCCCAGGCAGCTGCTCCACCAAGCACATCATCCACTTCTTTCAGCTTTGGATACTTTCTGTTTGTTACCTAACAAAAACAAGCCATCAGATTTCAAGTAATCATATAGTTTTAAAAGTGGGCCACCAAACCATAACTTCCCTCCAGTATTTCCTCAATTCAGTAAATGTATACAAAATTTATCTTCTTCAAAGTGAGGCAAGAGCCATTAAAACATAAGGGTTCGGGATATTCCCAAAACAGCACAGAATTTCAATGTCAGAGACCCCTAGAACCTGGAGGACACACCATACAGAGCAGGAAGAAAAGACAGCTGAGTTAAACCCTGCTCTTCTCTTATACCCCTAAGATATCTAATAATCCAACATGAAAGACAGTAAAAAAGACTAATAGCACCATTTATCTGGGTATCCCAGCATTCCCCAGGCCACATTTCATTGTTCTCTCATCCTTCAAATTTCAAAAATTATGTCACCATTCAACCTTACCACATATCCAGATTCCAAACTCCTACCATACAGTTCTAAAGTGCAAACATTGAAAATGAGGTACCACCAAGGCCTGGTGATGCACATCTGAAATCACACAACTCAGGACACCGAGGTAAGGAGGAACAAGAACTGAAAGATAGACAAAACACCAAGGGCTGAAAAAGCAGCTCTCTGGGTTCCAACACAAGCACCACACACACAAAGCAGCAACAATGGCATATATTAGAAGACAATGAGTCCTGGAAAAAGAGGAAAGGAATGAGGATGAACTAGAAAAGCTGGGTTTTGATAATATATATATATATATTATATATGCCCAGGTGAGCCTTTATCTTAATCTGCCGCAGCCTCTCCAAACGATCGAATTATAGGCATGTACCAATAGTCAAAAGGGCTGGAATTTAAATAGGATAATCATTATTTTAAAAGAGGAGAGATAAAGTAAAAGGAAGAGAGAGAGAACTACAGAGAGCACCAAATGGGTCGTTCGGAAAGACAGACTCAGGCGAAAGGAACGTGAAGGACTTAACAGCACCGCGTGCACGGTAAGATCCTCAATAGCTACAAAAACAATATTAAGATTTGAGATCAGAGAAGGTGATAAGCCGCCGACTGGAGGACAGCATGGGGGTTTTAAAGGCGTGGTTCAGCCTAGAGGTATGAACGGACATTCTTGCAACTTTTTGGGTGTCACAAAACTGGCTGCAGAAAGCCAGAGGCAGAAATCTCTTTAGTGACCAAAGGAGTGGCTTCGATTTGGCCGGAGCAACGCCACTGGATTACCAACAGCTGGACTTGAGGTACCGCCGCAGCCAGAGCAGAAAAAAAAAAAAAAAACTACTGCCGGCAGGAAGTCTGAGCGCGCGGACAACCGAGGCGGCACTTGCCTCTGGAACTCACCTTGCGTGTGATATTATGCACATAGGGGCAAGTGTTGCAGGCGAAGCGATGGCAACGCTGTCCCTCCTCCACAATTAGTCCGTTTCCGCAGCTCGGACAGAACAGCAGCATTGCCGCAGCTTCAACCGCGTAGGTTCTTTCTGTCTGAAGCTTCCGCGACCGCAGACGCCCAATCGAAGCGGCAATTGATACGTTCCCAGAAGGGACTGCGGCGTGCAGCTCTCACATGCCATTGGTCAACGCAGACAGTCCTTCCCCGTCCCGCCAATAGCGCGCTGTCTGCACTCCCCCTTTCCGTGCAGTGCCTGCGCGTGCGCACGGGCAAAAATGGCAGTATAGATAAGGCTGGCACCTGGCAGGCCTAAAGTACCCGGGACTAAGGGTCGGAGGGAGGTGCCGGGCGATGGACGTGTTTCAGGAGGGTCTCGTCACTGGTGCAGGAACGGCTGCTTCGCAATCTTCTGAGCCGGGACTGACAGGCAGACTAACCTAATGTTCCGGGGACTTTAGTTCAGTCACTAGTGTTGATTCTACCTCTCAGCTGCTGTCTGCCTAAGGTATGGATACCTGTCTATCTGTACTTACCATCTCTCCAACCTGACATGTCCCAGTTCTGCCATTTCACTTATACAGCTAGATTCAACTCTACAGATCAACTCTGACCTACAATTACCAGCAGCTTCTCTCCACAGACCTCCATCTGGTTCTTTTAATCTCATTCCTATACTCCTTTACATTTCCCAGCTCTGCCTTCTCAGACATCTTTTAAATGCCTTTCCTCTGTAATCCTCTGCAGGCATTCCAAAACCTACACAGGGAGCGGGTGGGATGAGTCCTGTGGGTTTTTTGTTAACTGTAACAAGTTATCTAGAAAGAGGAATCCCAATTGGGAAACTGTCTATCAGATTGACAAGTAGGTAACTCAATGAGGCATTTTCTTGAATGCAAATTGTTAGAAGAGGACCCAGCCCATTGGGGGCGGTGCCACCACTAAGCCAATGGTCATGTGTGAAACAGGAAAGCAGTACGACGGGGCACTTGTTCTTGGCCTTCTCCTGTAATCATATTGGTGACTGCCTAATTGTAATCAGAGAGCTTTCATTCAGTAACTGATGGAAGCAGATGCAGAGATCCAGTCAAGCACCGGGCCAAGCTCGGAGTTCAGTTGAAGTGAGGGAAGAGGGGATTTTACGAGTAAGAGGGGGTCAGGATCATAAAGGGGGAACCCACAGAGACAGCTGACCTGAGATGGTGGGAGCTCACGGACTCTAGATCGACTGCTAGGGAGCCTGCATGGGACCGACTTAGGGCCTCTGCATGCGGATGAGTTATCTAGGCCCTAGCAGTGGGATCAGGACTGTCCCTGGTGCATGAGCTTTTAGGAACCTGTTCCCGATGGTGGGATGCTTCACCCAGCCTTGATGCAGGGAGAGGAGCTTGGTCCCACTCAACTTGATGTGTCTTGCTTTGTTGACTCCCATGGGAAGTCCGCCCCTTTCTGAAGGGAGGGATGGTGGATGGGAGGTGGGAGGAGGGAGCAGGAAGAGAAAAGGGAGAGGAACTGTGGTTGGTATGCATTGGCTTCAATAAACAATGGGCTGTGATCCCTAAGCCAGACAAACCTTCTTCCACAAGTTGCTTTTGTCCGTGGTGTTTTATCACAGCAATAGAAACCTAACCAAGATATATTTACTGTGGCTTATAATGTGTGATTTGAGAATTAATAAAGTTCTCAAAAATAAGAAAAACTTCGTGTCAGCCAAGAGTACTAAGGAAAAACAGGAATACTTCAGATGCTTTCATTGAAACTGCTATGTCTTGTGAATTTACTGTTATTAAATAAATTCTGACATTAATATGTTTGACAGTGTTTCTGACATGGCACAATCATGGCAACTGTAAAAATCATTTTACTAGGTGTGTATGAATTGTCAGTCTTAAATATAAACAATAAAAGTTAAATTTTATAACTAATTTATTATTTTAATTTTTGAGGTTTTATTTTTATTTTGCCTGCATGTGTATCTGTGTACCTTGTGCACACTGAATGCAGAGGCCAGACAAGAACTAGAGTAACAATCAGTTGTGAACTACCATGCAGGTGCTGGAAATGGAACACAGTTCCTCTAATTATAAAAGCAGATAGAGCTCTTATTTTATTACTTTTATTATTTATTATTTTAATAAAGATGGAATCCAAATGTTAAAAAATTGCATAGTTTAAAAAGGGTCTCTGTGCCTACTCCTAACATTATCCTCTGATTGCCTTCCATTTTCATGCATGTTGGAGCTAGGAAACAATGTTTCACCAGATATGACTGCATGTGTTCTCTCATCAGCCCAATGGTGAGCTTCAAGTCACATTCTCTAGGACACAACAAGAATGACCCTAAGATTCTTTGACAAGTTGGAAACTGACATGGGCATGGACTTCCATAAAGACTGAGTGAGGAGCTGTCATGAACCTGAAGTTCTGCCATCTAGCTTCCAACCTTAGTATAAAGAACTGACCTACAATACAGCCAGATGGTGGAGATTCAGACACAGTGATAACCTGGGCAGCATCAGGTGAAATATACCATGTAGATACTGGAGGCCAGTGCTCAGCATCTGCACAAGTATCCTGGTCATTTTGTGTGCCTACTTACATCCAAGTATTTGCAAGTGGAGCTTCCAGCTAAGGACTCTACTGATAAATGTAGAGACTGAGCCTGTTTCTTTGAGGGATTCCTGATAAGATGATGAATTTGGGGGCTCTGATGAAGTCTGCATGTGGAAAACTGTAGGCTATGATATGAGTTCATAGTGGGATGACTAGCTTGTTCCCAATAATAGCTTGGAAATCAAGTACTAGTTGTGGTTCAGTGAAGACAGAGTCCAAAACAAAAATAGACCCCCCTCCTTCTAGTGATACCACTTCCTGTTCTTTATGTTACTAGGAACTGAGACACTAGCAGCTCAATCAGACCCATCATCTCATGCAAAGATTCTTGATACACAATAGAAGTGTGAAAACAGGGTTGAGAAGAAATCTCTCTGGATCAGTAGACAGGATCAATAGACAGATCAGCCTGCTAAGATGCTTTAAAAGAATCACCACATGAGTGATAAGATTTTCTTTGAATCAAGTGAAAATAACAATTATCCACATAAAAAGACAAATTAATTGTTAAAACTATTATAAATATTATGAAGTCAGTGTCAATTTTCCCATCAGTCTGGAAATTTTAAAGGTTCTTAATATTGTTTCTTGTCAATTAAGTGAAAACAGCTCTTTCACAGATTTTTAGAATTATGTACTGTTTTGAAGGTAATCTGATGGGTGATGGATTTTGATGGCCAACTTGAGATAACATACTCTTGTACACAAGATTCTACCTTTGGGGTAGCACCTAATAAACTCACTTCTACATATGTTGGATATGCCAACACTAGAGTGTTTTCGGGAGTGAAATAATCACACAGCACAAAACAAAAACTGACAATTAAAAAGTATACAAACTGCAGGTTGAAATTTTAACAAGATGTAAATGTAATCAGGAGCCCATATTCATCAAAGAAGCAATGCTGAGAATAAAATATCTTAACTACTTTTTTATTGATTCATTTGAGTCCCCATGTGTTTCATCTCATCAAAAAAAAAAAAATCAGTATTTCTAATTTCTTGGATTTTCGACTTTAAGTTGCACATTGGCAAATCTATTTTTATGCATACCTTTGATTCTTACATTAAGACAGAAGTCACATGTTTTAAAATACCCACTCCTTAAAACATAAGCAATTTTCAGTATTGTTCACAATATAGATGCTGAAGACATTTGACTATATTAAGATTTACTAGTCTGAACACAGAATGTGGTACATTATACTGAATTCTGGAAGCAAAGTATGTTTACACACAAGAAAATTCCAATTTTCTCCTGTTTTTATAAAGACCAATCTATTTCTCACATGTTATAACTATATTTAACTGAATTATGGTTTAAAATCACAAAGTGATAACATATAAATACAAAATGCTAAGAAAAGTTTAACATATAAAGGAAAAAATATCTTATGCATTGTAATTTTAAAAAATCCAGCATAAAGGCGAATGTGGCTTTTCAAAAATGCAGCCTATGTTCAATCACAGGAAAAAAATTCAGTCAAGCCACCTAATATACAGACTTCACAAATTTATTTAAATTTATGTCCAAAATTTTCCAGGTAACATAAAAGTCTACCTAACAATTAGAGTTAACATCAACAAAGACCTGCAAACTACAAACATTTGCAAGTCAAATTAGAGCATGCATTTCTCTCTGAAAGAAAAGAAGCCTGACTTGGAGTTAAAAGGTAGGTAAAAACAACTATGAACTTTCTTTAAATAGCTTATATTTAAAGTAATGTAAGTGTACATTATATTTATAATGTAGGGTAATATATGGTTTGCCAGCTATACATGCAGACTATACTGTGTGGTAAAATGATTCAACTAATTTTAAAAAAGACAAAGAAAAAAGAAAAGATCCAAAATGTCCATTTAAACTAGAGAAGTCACAGATCAAGCCTCTCCCTGCAAGTCATGTGAGGCTAAGCAGAAAATAAATCATAAAATTTCAGTACTTAATCCTAAATTAACACTCTAATTTGAGTTTATTAACAATTTACACTATTCTTTTCTTTGGGTTAAAAAAAAAAAAATTAAGAGTCAGCTTTTGGAATCAGCAATGTAACTTCAAGTCCTGCCCTCTGACAGTCAGAAAGGTTGCTTTAAAAAAAAAAAAACAAACAAACAAACAAAAAAAAGCTGATAGTTCTGAACACCAATAGCCTGGAGATAATAAATTTCACAAGTCACTGAGTTAAACTGCTCTAATGCAATGGAGCTAGTAAAATACATACATCTGTTCTTAAGAAAATTTACAAAACTAACAATTTTTCTCCAGAATTATAAAAGATAAAAATCTATGAATTGGTACTCTAATATGATCACAGAAAGATAGCAAACCGAAGCCGAGAAGCATGGGCTGTCTGTAACACCCTGTAGTCTCTCCACCAGCTTTGAAAATTCCCATTTAAATACCTTAGAAACCTGTTCTAGTCGTTGCAATTCAGTGACTAGCTTATCACTCACACATTTTTTCTTAAG